TGAAACCGTTTTCTTTCTGTTGAGGAAGAAACAGAAACAGGCGTCATTTCTTCATATATACCATCATGTCAGCACATTGATAATAATTTGGTCAGCCGTCAAATATGTCGGAGGTAGAGTGCTTTGTTTTAATATTTGAATACCCAGTATATAGGAACTTTCGTTAGAAACAAAATGGGCCGGCATATATTTCACCGAACAAAATGTTGAGAATTTTTTTCCAACAAACGCTACGGAAAACATTTCATTTTAAAATAAAAGCTGTTTCGTTGAATGGAAACCGAAAGAAAACAAAGGTATCATTATTCAAGAATCGCGTGCAGACCATTATATTGAAAGCAAAATTTAGTACATTTTAAAGCAGAATAAGGAAAATTGCCTCACGATATACGATTTTCAAGTCTTTAGATAGCTCATAGTATCCTATATACGATTATATGACTATATACATATATGTAGCATTACGTAAAGCGCAGTTAAATATATGTACATTCAAACAGATATATATAATCCACTATGGAGATATTGATTTCAAATGAGATTTCAGTATACCAAGTCACGCCCTTAAAATCCGACTTAATCAGTGAATCGGTAAACATATGACAGCATTATTTGAACAGACGGTTACGTGATATCAATTCTGATATATTTTGTATAATATCATACTAATTAATTTAACATTTAAAGGAAATTAATGAGGTAGAAAGAAAATTGTTGAAGATTTCTTTCCAGTTTATAGTGTGGCATATAAATAGAAACTATTCTATTTTTAAATTTCAAAAATCGAACGTCAAAAAGGGACTACGAGTTTAAAAAAAAAAACTTCTCATCCTCATATACAAACTCTTTGTATGTGTTGATCCAATGTTTGTTCGTGCAACGTGACTATGTCAACGTGAAAAGCTTGTTTACAGTCATTAATCCGACGCTACCCGAGAAAGTCGCGTGTTTATTTAGGGAAAAAAATATATGAAAATATTCTTTATAACGAACATTCTGACTGGGAAGCTTGTACAAAAAGGACTAACTCTTTTAAAGTCAGTGTATTATAATTTTAATTGAAGAATATTATGTATATGATTCCAGCCATAAGTCCGATCTCGTAAAAATTAACTCCGACATAACGTTTAGAAACTAAACATATTAACGACCTATAAAAGTTTTCATTTCATTAGTTCCGCGTCTACTGATTTTATAGCGTAATTTACTTTTGCGATTAAACAAAACGATAAAAGTATAAAGAGTATGAAAACATTTTTGTTTTTTAATTATATTTGTATAAAAAAAATAAAAAACAGTCAAACCTAGAACCTTCCTAACTTTACAATAGAAGATTCTAGATTATCTATAGAATGTAAAATTTTACATTTAATGATCTTAACACAAAACTAAAGATATATAGGAAATCTCATACATAGTGAGTTATAAGTTTAAGCCTTCTAAAAGTTATAAATGAATACTGATTACTGGTACAGAACATTAAAAAAAACACATTTATAATTAATTGCCGTTACAGTACGATAAGACTTTACGGTTAACACAAAAAAATCTAAGTAAATTATATTAATATTATATTTTATTACTATCCATTAAGTTAATCCAATTTTATTTACCTTGAAGGTTGTATTCAAGGTAGGCTTTCAGCTGCAATTTAAATTTATAACTGTAATTAGGGAGAGCATTAAATGCCCACAAAGAACTGTTTGCATTCAAAAGTAACATTTCGTATGCAGTATAATGAGACGAGGTCTTTGAAGGCTCGACATATTAAATAGAATTAAAAATGAATGTTAAAAGATTTTACTTTTTATCTGGCATGAATTAAAAACATTTCAGTGACTTTTGCATTGAATGTTGCCATATAATAAATTATGTCCACATTAAATATTACTTATATTATATTGTGCTATTTTCGTATATGAATTAAAATATACTTAATATTGGCAACATTTCTTTCAATAGTTACTAAATTCCATTCATAAGTAAATATACTTTTAAAAATAGATACGAACCTCTTTGTAACAAATAAAACCTTTGTGGAGATTCCTTTTATATGTAAAAGCATTCATTCCGATACTTGCTAATATTATTCCGATATTATGATCTATGTATTTTGACAGCAAAAAGACTAAACAAACTCCAAGTCGGTCGTGTTATTCAAAATACTATGGTAAAGAAACTTCTCATGTTTCGTTCTAATTCCATTAAAAGTTATTTCATATTAATAGTTTGCGTGCTCGTTATATATAAGAAAATTACCCTTCGACCTAACTCTCAACTGTATTTTCTAAACAACTTCTTTATCTTCTAAGGCAAGCGTCAATTAAAATACGAAAGAAGCCGTTCTAAAGATAATTTCAGACAAAAACGCATACAAATATGGATTTACAAAATTCCAATACTATTTATGTTTAAATAAATAAAAATATTTTTCAATACGTTACTAACTAAAATGGCGCGCTTTATGACGTTAATTGTTATTTAATCATAACTTTTATATATCCAGACTAAAGTTCGAAGACAAAATTCTAATTCGTCGCAAAAGTTTTTATTGTTTTTTTCTGTGAGAATACATAAGGCGGCAATTCTAGACGAAATCCCGCTTTGAAATTATTAGTAAAATAGTCCCGCAAAACGTTGTATGCGTCCCGCATCCCTATTTTTCTACCACACTTCTACACAACACCCATACCACGGCCAACAGTGTAGGAACACAGATTACCTATAATAGCGACAAGCGTATCGCGCCCGCGATAATCTCGTTTTCTTTCTTTCTTCTGAACTCATGACGCGTAAGAGAGTACTTACATTTAATATGAGCAGTTGCGAAGATTTTTATGACATTCCCAATCCCTAACACCCCCCCCCCCCGCCCGCCATTCAAGAATAGTTAAGTCCCGCATTCAGTTTTCGGAAACTTGGCCGCCTTAAGAATACAATATACGTACTAGCTCTACTAAAAAAAAATGCATGCCTTTTGACAGAAAAATACTTACTAAGACTAGGTAAATTAATTTCAGGAAAAGGCGTCAGATTTATTTACTGGATACATTTAGTATAAAAAATGTCATTGACACATATACAACAGTTTATATGAAGTAATATAATAAAGGCATTAACTGTATATACTATTTAGTTATATGTAATTGAACAACGCGACTGAACATGTTCAAATGACATTACTTCCTCTCTAATAGACCACAAAATGTTATAGAACTATATCTATACAGGGTGACTGGTGAATTACTATCGATATTTGAGGACGTGATATTTGACGATCATATATGACAAAATAAAAATTAATATAACAAAAATATTAATAAACTTCTAAGTAAAGTTAACCAAAAGTTATGTAATTAATTACGCATCGTATGAACACCCTACAGATTAGGTATACACACACACACACATACGCGCGCGGCGGCGTCTTGTTGTATCAGCACGCCACCGCACGCGTCCACACTTGGAACACTTGGAACGTGTACACACTTTATTTATTTATACGGAAATTTGGTCAAAAATTAAGTACCTATTTTTTTTACATAATTCGAATGAGAATCATGTACCGAGTATGCTCCTTAAATATTGATAGTAATTCACCAGTCACCCTGTATAATAGTTCCCGTATATATTTATATTATTTACAACATATAAAACTCTCATATAGTCGGGGATAGTGCAAATCCGCGTAACTACCACTGGATAATTCCGCATATCTACATTAAGGTATTTTTTTCAAAATTGATTTTTATTTAGTGTTTAATTTATTACTAATTGTGAAAATTTCCCTTAAAAGTCATTAATATAGAAAATATTTCAGCTTAAACTTTCTTCTGATAATCTGCTTCCAATGTAGATGTGGAATTATCCAATGGTAGTTACGAGGTTTTGCACTATCCCTGACAATATATTTTTACTTATTTGTGATACAAATATGATAATCATAATTAATTAATTATAATTGTTTACTTTCTCAGGTGGCATAACATCATTCTCTCCAATGATAAACAATGCCGTTCATGTCATCATGTATAGTTACTACTTACTGTCTTCGGAAGGAAGCCCCGCTGTTAAAACATTGCTTATTAAATATAAAAAATGGCTGACCATCATGCAAATGGTATGTCCACTTAGTTAATTCATATGAAAAACGATTATCTTTAAATATAAAACTTAGGAGTTATGTACTAATAGAATAATCATTTTTATTATATACTACATCTTATATATAAAAGATTAAACCTGAATTTTTCTTAGACTACTCATTTTCCGTTCATATGTTTTAATATAATCAATATATTTATATGTTCCTATATATCACATAATCATATGTTTAGTTTTTATATGTATTAAGTAATTTTATATTAATTTTTCACAGGTACAATTTACTTTGATGATATTATACAGTATACAAGTTTTCTTTCCGAGTTGCCCCGCTCCACTCGGCATCACAATACTGTACTTTCCAAACGTCATATTCGTGTATTACATGTTTTATAAATTTTTCAAACAAAATTATGGAAGACAGGACAATATGAAACTGAATGGCCTCAAGAATTATAATGATTCTAAAAACTTTTAAGTATGTATAATAAAAAAGAAATGGTTTATAATGTCCTTTCAAAATATTTTGTATGAGACTTAAACATATAAATAGAATAAAGATAATTTCTTTTAACAGTATGATTAATATAATAGAATGTTAAACTATTAAAAATATTTTTTTCTATCCCTCTTAATAAAAAAATAAATGTTTATATATTATATCAAACTCCTTTGGCATAATATTGGTTAGACAATAGTAATACTTATATATTAATTTATTACAGAAATACTTTAAATTAGAAGAACTAAACCATGTTTAAATATGAAACTTCTTTATTTGTATAGTAATGTTTAACTTGAGATATTCTATCTAATTTATCTTATTAAGTTAAAGAATTTAAAAATAAACTATTTACGTGTAAGCAAATACGAGATTAGTTCTACATGTCACTTACCGTATAATAAGACAGCAGGCCAGCGTTCTCGTCCAACACAAACCAGCGATACTGCCAGCCTTTCATAACATTGGTCCATTTACTAAGTGAACCTTCCATCATGTTTAAACTTAAAAACAACTAAACCTCATGGAAAAAAGACGAAGAATTTTCAGCTGCGACGGACCGCAGAACCTTATCAAACCTCAATAATAATCCATATGTTTGACATAAGTTACGTCGGTGTTGCTGTTGTGTCAAATAGGAATAGTATTGCCATTGTTATTGTTTTGTGTCATCGTAATTCTTGATATTAAAAATATATTCATTTAAAACTTAAACGTGTTAAATATTAAAAATGTATAGGACATCAATTAAAATAATAACTTAGGGAAGCTAAAATAAATATCTAGACTACTTTTATATTTTTACTGCAGTGTATTTTGTTCCAATCTGTTAATATTTGTTATTAACTTTTAGACATAATTTAAATTATAAATGAAATCGAAACAGGGGTTTTAATTAAAAATGCATATATTTTTTATAATAAGTTTTTATATTTTTACAACCTTATATTCGCTTTCGCAATAATAGAGGACTAATTTACACTCAACACCGTGTTGGTTTTTAATTTAGTAATACTATAACTATACTATTTACAAAGTTATCTGCATTCTATCGATTTGTACACTAATGTTTCCTTATAGCTCTGCCTTTTTTTGTTTTACTATAACCAGATGAAATCAATACTTTATTGTTATCTTTGTCATTTAACTTGACCCCGGATATATCTATAAATAATGGCACGTTTTCAGATCCTTCTGCAATTGGTTCATCGTTGTTTTCTTTGTTGAAATTTTCTGGAGTACCTTCTCCTTCAATGGCTAATTGTTCAATATCTTTGCTCAATGAATTGTTTTCAGCAGCTTCGACGAAAGCGTTGGATAAGTCTCCACTTAATTTGCTTACGCTACCTGATGTGATGTCATACATGAAAATTTCACGATCTTCAGAGGGCTCCTCGTTTCTGTAATGATATTTAATTTTTATAGCAGAGCTGTTATGCTGATATTTAATACATGTAACCTTGTTTAAGATAATATAAACATGATATGGAAGAATAAAAAAAAATACATATTATAAAATAATTTATGAACAAGTGTTAAGGGATAAATAATGGGTCTCTGAATTAAAATTTACACCTGTACACGTAAACTTTTGCAAAACTTATTTAACTTTCTGTTTTAATATATAATTATTTAAGACAATAAAGTATTCATGTCACTTACCCGGTTACAAGAAGAATGACAGATTGTTGGTCGGTTGCGGTTTTCTTTTCTTTATCCAGCCATTTCTTAAAATTGTCTTCGGTTGGTTTTTTCAATAAATTTTGTAGACTGTCTCCAGCAACAAATTTTATTCCTCGCAAATTGTCTGTGGCCGACCTCTCAGCTCGTTCGTGTTCGCTGCCCAAAGTCTCTGTTTCAACAGGTGCTAATACGACAACAGAAGTAATTTTTCTTCCTTTTAATACATCAGGCAAGGGGAATTTATTACCACTTACTTTCAAAGGTAAGTACCTATTATATTTTTTATCATTTAGTGCTACGGGATCAAGTTGAGTAGCATCTTCTTTGACAAGATCCTTGGCAATCTTTTGACCTTCAGGAGTTTCGGGATCGAAATGTACAACTTTCATTTCCACGGCCTGTTTTTGGGAAGGTGCCACATAGCTAGGAACATTTTCAGAGGCCGCAATTTCTTGATCGTCATCATCTATGATTTCATCTATTCTTGATTTAATGTTTTCACCATTTGGACTTACAATGATTGGCCTATGTTCACTTGCAGCTATTTGTTGGGCTCCACCTGCACTAAAAAAGTTTGCTAGTTGATCCGGGGGCAATGACTCTAAAGGTGTGTCGCCTACTTTGTCATAATCCAGAACACTAATGTCAGCATTATCTAAAATGCCCGAAGAAAGCAATTGCTGACGTAAGTCGTCTGGAACTTCATCTGGTAATTCTATAGCTGGTCTTTTCTTGTTTTCTGTCTGTTGTGGTGCCGGCGTGCTACTAACAGAACTAGCACTGGATGACGCGTATTTTTGTGTTGTTGGTTTGATTTCAACGGTTCTAGAAGTTGATTGATAATACTGTGGCGAAGGGGAACTGGTTACGTAAATATTTTGAGATCGCGATCTCTCGTCTACGTACTGTGAAGCTGGCGTACTTTGTTGGAATTGATTGTAATTTTGTTGTTGGTACTGTTGTTGTTGATGTTGTTCTTGATGTTGTTGTTGTTGCTGATGCTGCTGTTGTTGTTGTTGTTGCTGTTGTTGTTGCTGATGTTGTTGCTGTTGATGTTGTTGTTGCTGGTGTTGCTGTTGTTGATGATGATGGTGCTGTTGTTGCTGATGCTGTTGTTGAGCGAATTGTAGTTGTGATTGAAGTCGTTGAATTTCTTCTTGTTGCTTTCGTACGTTTTGTGCTAATTGTGCTCTTACTTGTTCCTGTTCAATATCAAATTGTTTTTGTGCTTGTTGATCTTGATGTTGTTGTTTATTATTTGATGGACTCACTGTTGAGGATGGCTGATTTAGATTGATCAAGCCTTTATAATTTTGTTGCCCGTTGGCGTCGTTAACAGTGAAATGTTGTTCATACTTAGGAATTGCTGCTACAAGTTCACTCCCTTTTGGAGCAAATTGGTTAATATTTTGTTGATGTTCAAGGTTTTGGGTCTGTTGGAAATTGTTGAATTGGCTTGGACGTTCAGACGCTACAATACCGTGATTGGGGATTGAAGATGGTTGTTGTTGGTAGTTAAATATGGAAGTTGGCGAGGGTTGTGGGAGAAATTGATTTTGAGGAATCGGTGAAGGCGAAGGTGATAAAATACTTGAAAATGAATTTTGTGTGTTACTGTTTTCTTGGTACGATAGTTGAACGGATGGCTTTGAAAGGGATTGCAAGCCCTGGGAATAGTTAATCTGTTGTTGGGAATGTGAAGCAGGCTGTCTCTGGAATGGCGTGCGATTTTCTTCTACACGAGGCGGTGATGGTTTCAGATTAAAGAACGGAGATCTACTAGGAGTTATAGCAAAAGAGGCTTTGTTTTTATTTGAATCAAAAACTTGGGGTGGCCTTTGCTGTGGTAGTTGTTGATTGTAAGGAATAAGTTGATGAGGACGACCTTGATGATCAGGGAAGTAAACGAGAGGCGGATTTGACGTTGGCCTAGGATTAGAGTTAAAGTTTTGAATTTGTCTGTTTGGTTGTGGTTGCGGTTGCGGTTTTGGTGGATCTACCTGGTCTGTAGTTATTGTATGGTAATTTTCTTGTAGATACTTTGCTTCATCGAAATATGCCTGATGTTGTTGTTGGTGGAACGGTCTTTGAGGTCCAGAATGGAAACTCGCTCTAGGGGGTCCATTGGGATGTTGTCTTGAACCGAAAGATGGGCCATTACTAGGTCGAACGTGATATTGAGGTAAATTGCTCGGTCTTGCAAATGGAAGGACTGGCCCAGGTAAGGTCGGGGCAACGTTATTAAATTGATTACTTGGACTAGGGGAAGGATTTGCAAAGGGTTGGTGTGATGGACTCAATGACGGAGAAGGACCGAAAGGATTTTGACGGGATACTTGAGCTCTAAAAGGAACATTTGTTGGTCCTTGTCTCGGTAATTGGGGTTCGTGACTTATAAAGGGTTGTTGGAATTGTATACGGCTCTGAGCTTGTTGTGCAGATAAATAAACTTGTTGTCCTGCTTGGCTAGTTTGTTTAGACTCATGGTCATACAGAGATCTTTGTGGAACCGATCTTTCCAATGGAACATTTTGAGGTTGGTTGGGCAAAGCGATTGCTGGTCTTGGAGCAGTTTCTTCACGATCCTCACCTTGTGGCCTCTCCTCTCTCCTATTACTGTGATGATGATGGTCATTACCAAAAGTTATCTTCACATTGCTATCACTGTGGTATATCTCAGACTCTGGCTTAATAATAGCTCTTAGAGTTGTCGTTTGTGTAGGTGCGTAGTTAGGTTGTGGAGTGACAGTTACATATTCTTCATGATGATCCTCTTCATCATTTGAAGGGGGTGTTATCGCAGGGATTGGCTTTTCATATATAACTTTGTCCTTGGAATGAGGATCTTTGCTATATTTAACATAAAATACCTGAACGGGTTCTTTTTTCTTTTTCTGTACAAGCTGGGGAGGTGGTGCCGGCAAAGTTTCATTGGATTCTTTTATAATAATCTCTATTATAGGCTCTGGAGCATCATAGTATTGTGGCTGGTAGTCTTCACTGTAGAGGGGTGCGGTCGGCAGAGAACCGTAAGGTGGTCCAAATGAGGCTTCGGGCTCTTGATCGTGAACGTTAAGAATCTTTGGTTGAGCAAATACTACGTTTTTGTTAACTCCATTCTCCAAATGATCATGGGTTGGGTCGTATAACGGATCTTTTTGTGAATATTGCACAACCGGTTCCATCTGTACTGCATATGGCGGAAGTTTTCCTGGTTTCGGAGCTACATTTGAAATTCTTCTATTGCTTGGTAGTGCTCGAAAATGGGCAACTCTAGAATGTGGTAGAACGAGAGAATATTGAAGGTTTTGGGGTGTTCTTATATTGTCTAACTGTCGTTTCGGTTTCGTTTTCGCTGTCGAATTCTTGGCAAATGTTATGGTGAGCACAGCGAACGCTGTGACCTGTAACAAACAAGATCAAAACATTAACACCAATGTAGTTAAAATTATTTATTTAAATGGAAGTAAGTCATAAAGTAAATATATTTTTGTTTAAATTTAATCTTTATTTTTAAAAGGGAATGTGACTTTAGTGAACTGAAAATTTATATAGAAGTTAGATGTCGAGCATCTCCCTTAGGGTAGCATTATGTCTTAAAATTAAAACCGGTCAGTCAGCATTCCAAGAAGAATAAAAGTAAAATTCTCAACGTGACCGACGATGAGCTCGGTCATGGTATTACATTTTGACGGAATACAAATAACAAAGTGTTGCTTTTACTCATAGCCATTTAACAGGTAATACTTTGTCTATAACTTTTTATTTTATTCTAATAATAATCGCGCTTAATAGATATATTTTGCAATTTTAATATAATACATACAATCGAACTTATGATCTCGCCGGTTTTGTAATCCTATCCAATATATTATATATAAAAGTAAAAGTGTGAATGACTTCGCGAGATTATGTAAATCGAGTGACCTAAAAAATAATTATGCTAATCACCTTTAGCAACTTATAAGCCATCTTATTATGAAATTTCAACTAAAATAACTCGACACAACATTTCTTTTCATATACCATCCAAAAATATTCAGTCTCATAATTTTGTTGCAAGTTACATATATTATATTTAATAATATATTCCTTATTATTACTTAATATACATTTACATTCTTTGTTATAATATAAAGATATTTTAGGATTGCAGGTGAATAAGTCTTTCCCTTCAATAGAAATGGAAATTAACTTATAGAAGAGGATATAAAAAGTACTGTGGATCATTGTGGATTATTTCTCACGATGTAAGATAGGGAATAGTTACGACAGTAAAACATTGTTCCAATGTAAGTGATTTGATTAGATGTTTTCGTGGCACTCTCACTGCTAAAACTTGATCGGAACCAAATTATAAAGTGTAGTGCTATGGCAAAGCAAAACAGATTAAATACAAAATTTGCATAAATGATCTTCACATGTCGGATATTTAGATAGTTCTCATACAATTTAAAACCATAATTTAATTGAACGTGTATATAATTTGAATAAATTATAAAACCAGAATAACCGTCTATGGTAAGTGGTAACATCATGCACAATTTAATCATGACTCGGTCAAACCATAAACAAGAAATTTATAAACTAGACGTGCTCTGCAATTTTCACAATTTCCTCGCGATCTTTCCCACGTCTCATGTACATAATAATTTACAGATAACTGATGTCAATTACAATCCACTTATAAAGGAACCAATAAATAGTGAAAATCTAATAATTAGGAAGAAATTAACCATCCTTTTATTGGATAAATAGGATTCAGGTCAGGTTTTGGTATATTGAAGGCGTTGAGAGTAATAATTTTAACATAGAATAATGATATGACAATTGTGAAGAGACTTTATTTCAGTGTTAGTAGCATTAAGAATACATGTAAAATATTTTAATAAAAATAGGAATATATTAATCATAAATGCGATGGGTTTTTGGATTAATCTAAAGTTAAATGGAGATCTATAATAATGTATATAACAAAAAAATAAATTAGCTAAGTTCATAATGTAGGTTTTAAAAACTGTTACAATATGACAATCTTAGGAGATGTCGCAGTTGTTTATTCACTAGTAACTATCGATTCTTACGAGCTATAAATTGGAATGGAATTGTAACATAATGTATACAAAATGAATTAAAATCGATTATTTCCAGTACAAAACAAAACTTTGTGTCTATCTGATTGTCCCGTTTGCTCTCTGAAAACGTTCGGTTTTGACGAGACTTTCGTGACAGATATTTAATGTAATTCGTATCTTAGGCCTAAACAGGCAACTTTTATTTTAGTTTTTATTTAATTAATATAAAAAAAGTTCCGTTGGGCTAACATAGCGGGCACAGCTAACAATTATACAGATACAAGAATTATAATAAACTTAATATCATAACAGTAACTTCGATTTGAAATTAAGAAGATTAATATCATTTAATTTGCTACAAGAAGTTGTCTTGATATCTTTTGAGATCCTCATTATTTCTCATACATATTTCTTCATCGTAATTCCTCCACAATCACAGATAATGCTTCTCACTCGTAATAACGTCCCATTATATAATGTGGGTCATTTTTGAGAGGAAATAAGAATATTTGTTGTTTCCGTTCACATTACGTGAGTGAGTGACGAGTGACTTGCATAATGTTGCATCACCATGATATTGGCATATCATTATGATATGTAATAAGTGTATGTGATCCACATTATGATAAGTAGTAAGTGTATGTGATCCACATTTATGAACCAAAGAAGTCTTCAACCTCTTACCGAATATGAATAATGAAGACTTAATGAAGGCATTATATTTTTTAAGTACAATAGAATTTAACAATAGTATATGATAAGTGAATACTGTACATTACTTTTATAATATTAACCTGTCAATCTTTCAATCATATTTCTTTAATTATTTGTACAGGTTACATAACAAAGTGTGCTTTAAATTATAGTTTTTATGAATTAAAAACTGTCAAGAAGGCAAAGGAAGTTTCCTTTGAGCTTTACCTAGTAGTCACTGACAGACAAAAAAAAAGAAGTATGTTCCCTTTTTCAAGACTTTTTTTTATATTGAGTTTTATAAGGACTTTAAATACATATACAAATATACTATATGTTATATACTCTAGTAAAAACTAATCACGTACATTCAAATCTGTTCAAATCTGAATTGCATTGTACGAAATAAATCTTAAAGTTTCGTTCAATACATTTGTATTCCAACTAGTTAGATATGATCAATGTTTAAGCGTGTCTTTATTTTAATATTAAATGAAGATAATCATATAAACGAAAGTTATAAACAAGTTCAATGACCTCACAATCAAGATAATAAGACGTCATTAACTGAACGATATCCACATTCACACTGTAATGACACAGGCACACGCATCAATTGTGTGTAACTTACACTGTAGGCTAAGCTGTAACTATTTATGTAACTCAAACAAGTAATACGTTATGATAATATGAAAAAATACACCTTTATATATGTTTATTTAATATTTGTAACTAATAGTTACAATTACAATGTATGGCATAATTGGCAGGCCCTGGCTAAAGCTGGGAAATTGCCAGGAAGAAGAAAATGTATTACGTAAAAAAATTGTTAGAATTTTTTGTTTGCGTGAAACTAACATTTTTCGAATGTACTATTCGTGTTTTATTAAAAAAAAATAACTACATATAACCGACATTTCGGCTACGTTTCAGCAACCGTGATCACTAGCAGACGAGATTTTTGTTTGGAAAGATTATATAACTCATATATTCAATATACATATTTGATCAATGGAAAATATATGGAAATACACGGAGTACCGAAATATTTGTTTAATCAGCATTTATGAAGATCATAAAAATAAAGCCACTCCCTGATTAGCGACACAGATTCAAAACATTGAAAAATCTACCAATTAATATGATAAAGAAAGTCATTTACATACAATATATTTTTATTGGCGATTAGAAATCTGTGAGATTTCACCAAATCTATTGACATTCTGTTTTCATCTTACTACTTAATTATATCCGCGACTTTTTGATTATAATGAAACTTCTCACAATCGTCTACCGCCATTGTTTTCTTATGTATTCGTAATTAATACGTTTTAACATAATTAATTGTGAGAAAAAGTGTTAATTTAAAATTAGTGATGACTACATGAAAATTATCGAGAAAAATATTAAAAGACAGGCAACCAATATTATAAAGATCATAAAAATATTTATACAATAATGATTTATTCCTTTTTTTTAATTTGTTTGGTGTTGCAAGTCACAAAAATATATAAAGCATTATAGAAAAAGATCTCATAGGAATGTTCTCACACAAAGATTATAAGAACGATCAATGTAAGAAAGAAACGTCAAAAAATCATATAAGTTCTTTATAAAAATGTAAAACAAACATTCACAGCTCAAGTCCATCGACTTGACACTTTCACCTCACGAAGGCTGAATACATAACAATTAGCTACTATATATTCAACCGGCTTCCGGCAACGAATGTTTCTGACACCATGGACAAGCATAGAAACTACCATTAAAACAGTTTATAGCAGAGTTTGAGAATAAAGAAGAAAGAAATTTCATTAATATTTTTATATATTTCGTCTTCAAATTAGAAAAAATATATTTATTTAAAGAAGCTATATGGATATTTGATCTAAATTATTAGCTACAGGCTACGGCAGCCATTTTGTTGCTAATTAAAAACTTTTCTGTATTATCGTCATAATATGAGGCATTTGTTTTTACTTTTTTTCTCTCATTAATTAGTGTAGTCTTATAAACAGTATCAAAAAATATCATAAAGTTTTTAAACTAAATATTGGAAGGCACAGATTACAAAAATATTTTGTTTTATATCACAGCTTATACTGAACTTTTTTTTTGAGTTAATGACAATAGTTAACTTTGTTTTATTAAAAGTAATTATATATCAAGTACAGATTATCGATTTCATTATAAAACATTAATGATTAAATTAATAATCCATATCATTTTATAGAAAGGAGGTTAATATACGATATTATAGCCATAAAAACAATTTACTTGAACACAGACTAAGCTACTTCGAGATGTATGTAAAGTATTCCATTAACTAAAATAATATCAACATACAACTAGAGAAATAATAATAAAATAAAAACCTAATATTTTATGTTCTAAGGAATGCGAAAAAAGCGTAAATATTTACTCAATAAAACGTTGATTTCTTTTCCAGATGAAAATAAGTTTAAAGTATGCAGTTCAAGATATTTTAAATATATAATTGTAAGTAAGATACTGTGTATATAAAGACCAGTTAGATTTAATAATATACCTACACCATACACATAAAATATACTCATATTAATTCTTTAAGGTGCTCTCAATACTATGGATCGAATCAAATTCTATTTCGATGACAGCAAGTTACATCAGATGATTGATGACCACGCCATACAAACACGGAGACATATTAACATATATAACCTCAATCTAAGGAGCAATGTCATTCAACTAATTATATATATACGTATTAATCGATATTTTAAGCTAAAATTGTATGATGTTTTACTTATAGTTTGTTTAAAAAATGATTATTAAATTTAATATCGAACATCATACATATTATTTATATATTTTATAATATATAAATATTAGTTTAAAATTACTACAGGATACGTATACGTCATGTAGGTCAAACATTAGGTTACAACAGTCACGCTGCTCGTAGTGGTCGTGATAAAAAGCGTAATTTCTCCATTAAATGAAGTTATTTTAAAATGCACTGTGTCCCGCCTCTTCATTTCGATACAAGCTTTCTACAACATTCCGGGGCGACCAGTTCTTACTTCTTAGCCGGCTACCATTTTGGAGTGAGAGTGAAAAGGTACGTTACGCGCTTAAAGATACAGATACAAAATACAATTTGTTTTAATAGCGATCTATAGCTAAATATATATTTATTATCCATCATTTATTATGTTATTACTC